TTTAATTTTTTCTTTGTTTTTTAATAAAGTTTATTGTTAGATTTTTTAAAATTAATTAATTAATTTGGGGGCTGTGTTGGGTCTTTGTTGCTGTGCGAAGTCTTTCTCTAGTTGTGGCAAGCGGGGGCTGCTCTTCATTGCAGTGCACAGGCTTTTCATTGCGGTGGCTTCTCTTGTTGCAGAGCACTGGCTCTAGGCGTTGGCTTCGGTAGTTGTGGCACGTGCACTCAGTAGCTGTGGCTTGCGGGCTCCAGAGCGCAGGCTCAGTAGTTGCGGCGCACGGACTTAGTTGCTCTGCAGCATGTGGGATCTTCCTGGAGCAGGGCTCGAACCCGTGTCCCCTGCATTAACAGGCGGATTCTTAACCACTGCGGCACCACGGAAGTTCCTATTCCTAGATTTTTTTTTTTTTTTTTTTGCGGTACGCGGGCCTCTCACTGTTGTGGCCTCTCCCATTGTGGAGCACAGGCTCTGGACGCGCAGGCTCAGCGGCCATGGCTCACGGGTCCAGCCGCTCCGCGGCATGTGGGATCTTCCCGGACTGGGGCACAAACCCATTCCCCTGCATCGGCAGGCGGACTCTCAACCACTGCGCCACCAGGGAAGCCCCCTATTCCTAGATTTTTGATTATTGATTTCTATTGTAAATTGGATCTTTTCTTTCTGTATAATCTCAAGCTAATGTTTTGGTGTGTTAGGAAAGTTAATGATTTCTTTATTTTTTTAAACTAGTATGCTTAGTGAATTTTAATTGTTTCCCATTATTTTAACTTGCTTTTATTGGGTTTTCTAGACAGCCACTACACTACTTGCAAATACTGCCTCCTCTCTTACAATATTTGTACCTTTTAATTTTCTCATCTAATTTCATTTTTTAAAATAGGAAAAACACCCAAGTAATAAGAAAAAGATGGGGAATTTCTCCAGGGACAAGCTATATCAAGATCCTTGGATAAAATGAAATGCTAAGGATAACTCTTCTTGTTCAAGGAAGCTACTTTTGTATACAGTCTTCACTATGTGAATCGTTCTTGGTCATATTTTCAAGCTCAGTGCACACCTCTAGCCCAATAATTGTCCAAATAATTTTTTTTTTAATTTATTTTTTTGGACTGTATTGGGTCTTCGTTGCTGCACATGGGCTTTCTGTAGTTGCAGCAAGCAGGGGCTACTCTTCATTGCAGTGCGCAGGCTTCTCATTGCCGTTGCTTCTCTTTTTGTGGAGCACAGGCTCTAGGGCGCTGGGGCTTCAGTAGTTGTGACGTGTGGGCTTAGTTGCTGCGCGGCATGTGGGATCTTCCTGAACCAGGATCGAACCCGTGTCCCCTGCATTGGCAGGCGGATTCTTAACCACTGTGCCACCAGGGAAGTCCCTCTAATAATTTTAATATAAAAACATTGATAGCTGTGGACAGCTGTAAATAACCAAAATGGAAGTCATTTACACCATGCTTTCAAAATGCACTTGTTTAGCTTTACATTGCCAATAACTTAAACCATATGGAAAGAGCAAATTCTCTTGTACAAACACATTCTACAAGTGGCACGCACAATAAATGATAGCATTTGACAAGTTCTTACTAGTTTATTTCTTTTCAGAGACAGAAAAGCCAGTTGTTACAATCAGTGTAAAGTGAAAAAACATGTACCTTAGCAATCCAAGAGGTCTTTTTTTTTTGCCTGTGTTAAATCATGTTTATACAACAGCAGCTTTGCTGGACAGGTTGCTATATATACACTCCTATTCCCTTTGCTCCTGTTCCAGAAGCTGAAGGGTCAATGACATAGTGGTGCTTATTGAATACCATTTGTTATGAGGTTGATAACTTTTCGAAGCATGAAGTTGAAGACATCGATGGACTTCCGATGATCTTCAAGGGATCTTCAGACTCCCTTGAAGATCAACTTGAGAAACTTAAAAGTGAGCTTCACTCCACCTAAAAAACACCAACTCAGGCTTCTCAGCTGAGATGCTGTAGGGCAGCTATAGGACATGAATAGGAGTAACACACAGAAACTAATTACTTAAACCATTGATCCCCCTCCCTTCTCTAATAGTGAGGGGAGTGGAAGTGAAAATACCTAAGGATACCCAAATGTCTGTGAACATTTTTTTTTTTTTGGCATGGGATAAAAAGTAACCCCTCTGGTGTGCTTATGTGTATCATGGCCCTTTTCCTATATATCGAAACAATGGGGCCTGGAGCATCAGCAGAGAGGCAGGTAAGAAGGTGAAAGTGATGCATGTTGGAGGTTAAATAAAACCAAATTATGATTGCTTGAAGATTAGGGAGTTCTCCAACTAGTTAATTCTAGTTTTCCAGGTGAACGCAAGTGGCTCTTACACTCATTGTGAAACTGTGAGGGAAGAATTAAATTGGTGATTTGGTTATATTTAATATTTTAATTTGATTTCTTATTGAAGATTTAGTACTCTTTGAGGGTGCTATATTAAATAACTTACAAAAAATTTTAATGACTAATTTTGGTGAAACTGTAAATGATCACTATCCAGGTTTAGGGGATCTTTTTTTTTTTTTAACATCTTTATTGGAGTATAATTGCTTTACAATGGTGTGTTAGTTTATGCTTTATAACAAAGTGAATCAGCTATACATATACATATATCCCCATATCTCTTCCCTCTTGCGTCTCCCTCCCTCCCACCCTCCCTATCCCACAGGTTTAGGGGATCTTGAAACCAGTTATAAATGGAAATTTTCATAAGAACCAGGAGCATAAGGAGAGAAAAGAGACAAAGATGAGAAAGGACAAAGTAACAGTCTATATTTTGAAAGTTGAAAAGGTAAAGATAAGGGAAGATAAGCAACGATGTAGCCTGAGATGGTACTGCATAGGCAGGTACGTGTGCTGTGGCTATTAAGTTACAGTTGAGTGCTAAGTTCTAAAAAATTGAAAACAAAGAGTCTTCAAGACAGTGATTTTCAATTTGTTCAGCTAATCAAGCAGCCATAACCCTTGGTACTCTGTCCTTCTATCCCCAAATAGTTACACGTTTATGCCATTATATGACTAGGAACAATTTTATTGTCAGAAACTGGGACTGTACTTTAGGTATAAGAGCTTCTGAATCTTAAAAATAATAGTACATAAAATTTATTTTAAAATTATGTGTTTAGAAGGATGGATATTATCTATCCATCTACTCACTCAATGTAATATGAAGGATGAGCTTTACTGGTTGAGTAATAATTCTGAATTTAATTATTTTGTGTCAAATTATATTGATATCTGCCAGAAGATGAGAAGCAGGCACCAAAAACTTTAAGAAAGTGTTCTAGAAAAACTTAACCTTGAGAAACTCCATTCACTAAATTAAATTCACTGGGATTTGAATAAGGGAAGAAAAGTTGAGATAGAAAGTATCTTTCTTCATGTGTATTTTTTTTTTTTTTTTTTTTGCGGTACGCGGGCCTCTCACTGTTGTGGCCTCTCCTGCTGCGGAGCACAGGCTCCGGACGCGCAGGCTCAGCAGCCATGGCTCACGGGCCCAGCCGCTCCGCGGCATGTGGGATCTTCCCGGACCGGGGCACGAACCCGTGTCCCCTACATCGGCAGGCGGACTCTCAACCACTGCGCCACCAGGGAAGCCCTTCATGTGTATTTTTTTTTAGACATGCCCAGTAACTATTTATTGTATTTAGGGTCTGGTTTTTTTCTAGGAGCAAAATATTGAAGTAGAAATAAAATCTCTCCATAATTCCTTAGGCAATTTAGAAATTCTATGCTAGTTATATTGATGAAAATCACTCCCATGTTCCTAGTACTGGGAAACTTTGTTGATTCTTTAGTGAATTAATCAGGACTTTTTCAGTAGTAAGAAATGGAATCATACACCAAATGATTTTGAGGAAACAAATTATATCTCATTGATACACGTAACTAGAAAGGATATAAAGTCACAAATCAAGGAAGAACGAATTGGAGATGGGATTCACTGCCATTAGGATTCTGTTCATCTCTCTACTTGTCTGTGCTTAATTGGTTTTTTTTTCACTTCCCACAACCAGAATCTCCACTCTCTCATTTGTTTTGTTGCAAAACAAAAGGTCCATAAGGCGTAGAGAAGATGGGATGATGATTAAGTTGCCTCTTCTTTCCTCCCATTCACTAAGTGTATAAGCTTCTGCAGTACAAAAAGCTTAGATGTCAAGAAATAATTTTCTAAGGCTGAAGAGTCACAGCAATTATTCAATCTACTTGTGCAGATGGCAGTACCATGTTGGTGAGGGGACAAATCTCTATCAAATTCCCTAATTTTCATGAGGTTTCTCTGAGGAGTTGAGGAAAAATCTGTCTCTAGTGGCTCTAGATAGATTGGCAATCTCAAAGACCCATTGAAACCTTTGCTTTGTAGCTTCCAGGTAAAAATCCAATTTTACTCCCACACATCCAATTTTACTCCCTTCACAGCCCCACCAAGAAAAATCAGAAAATGGATTTTTAATTTAAATTTTATTTTTAGTTTTCTTTAAATTTTTTTTTGCATTTAATTTTTAATAAAATTTTAAAGGTTACTTTCCATTCATAGTTATTACAAAATATTGGCTATATTCCCCATATTGTACAATATGGCCTTGAGCCTATCTTACACCCAATAGTTTGTACCTCCCTCTCCACCACCCCTATATCACCCCCCGCAACTGGCAACCACTAGTTTGTTCTCTATATCTATGAGCCTGCTTCTTTTCTGTTATATTCACTAGTTTACTGTATTTTTTAGATTCCACATATAAGTGATATGATCCAGTATTTGTCTTTCTCTGTCTGACTTATTTCACTCAGCATAATGCCCTCCAAGTCTATCCATGTTGCTACAAATGGCAAAATTTCATTCTTTTTTATAGCCGAGTAGTATTCCATTGTATATATATACCACATCTTTGTCATCCATTCTTCTGTTGATGGACAGAGGTTGCTTCCATATCCTGGCAATTGTAAATAATGCTGCTATGAACATTGAGGTGCATGTATCTTTTCTAATTAGTGTAGAAAATGGATTTTTTAAAAGAAATAAACCAAAAAGGATGGGGAAAACACACAAAATTTTGGGAGAGCTGGAAAGCAGATGGAAAAGTGGTACTGGTTTAGCATACTTGAGAAAGTTATATCTCGTCTGCAGTGGGAGCAGTAAAGAATGAATTTAGTTTATTTCACAAAATCCTCTAAAATGTCAGGAATTAGTGACACATAGTGCATTCTCTCTATGCAGGTGCTAGACTGCCCCTCTTCATTCCAATAGAAGACCAGAGGTTTATTGCTTGGAAGGTACAATACAACAGGACTGGTAGATGCAGACGCTGGACAGTTGTTGATTAAGGGGTACTTTACTGAAAGTAGGATTCTGAGATGTCTAGTCCTTTCTGCCCATTTGACTCCTGGAGTACCAGAAGCCAGGCCTTTATCCTCCAAGAAGGACACTGGAGGAGTCTCTTCAGGGGAAATTGTTCCCAAAGACATCTAAATATGTAAAGATTCTGAAATTGGGAGAAAATCAACAAAATGTCCTAGCCAAATGATCTTTCTGTGAGGTCCATGCTTGATCATTATCCTTCATGCTCATATCTTCAAATCAATGTCTCATTCCCCTATCCTTACATTTGAACAGATAATCATGATTACTGGCCATTTGAGGAAAGGCTTTAACATAGAACATAAAAAAGAAAAAAAAAAAGAGAGGGGGAAAAGCAACAATTTGGAGGAAACAGAGGCTATACAATAAGAAGAAAACAATAAACAATCATTAATATCCTCTGGGGATAAGAGGATAGTGCAAAAATGAGACAAGCAAGAGCTCCTGGAAGTTAAAGACATGATAGTAGGTAAAAAAAAATAGGCGGAAGATACAGTTGAGAAAATCTCCTACAGAGTGTAGGAAAAAAACAAAGAATTGGCAGGTGGGGAGAAAAAGAACGAACAACAGTCCAGGAGATCAAATACAATTATCCTAGTGGGAAAATTGAGACAAAAAAATTGTCACACTGTTGATAAGTAGAAAGTCTAGGATTCAATCCCAGGCAGTCTGACTTCAGGTCCTGGGGATTTTACCACTTAGCCTTTCCAAAATTCAAGAAAGAAAGCATAGGAAAACAGGTGAAGAAAACATTCTTCTCAGAAAAAAGTTATAAATCATCCAGCTCAACAAATGAAAAGACACACCTACCAAGGCAAATCTCAGTGAAATTCACAAAACTAGAGATAAAGGAAAGATCCAACAATCTCCAAAGACAAAAGAACAGGTCACAAACCAAAGAGCAGGCATCAGAAAGGCACTAGAATTCTTGACATAAACACCAGGATATAGATAATAGAACAATGTCTGCAAAATTCTAAGGCAAAAATGACTTCAAATGGAGAATTATATTATTATATAAACTATTAATACAGTGAGAACGAAATAAAGGCATTGTAAGACATGCAAGGTCTCAAAAAAATTTCCTTTCATGTACCTTAGTCAGGAAGCTATTGGAGAAAAACTTTATGAGAGTGAAGATAAAAGAGGAGACTTGGAAAGAGGTGAGGTGAAGGAAATCAATTCCAGGGGTGTAAACGGTCCATGTAAGTGTAGGCCAGAGGCTCCAGGAGTGATTTTTTTCGAGGAGACAAGATTAACAGAATATCTGACGTATCTGAACTCTTAAGCGGAGATTCAGACAGTTGGCGGGGAGTTCAAGGTTTGAATTTAAATTTATGACAAACATGTTAAAAATTAAAATTTTAAACAATAAGGCAACATTAATCTCAAGGAAAAATATAAAGATTAGCAATAAAGTCAAAGTAATCCTAGTCTTTTCAATGACACAGATTTGAATAGCATTTAGAAAGATATACTAATGTGAATACTGAACAATGACATAACTAACATTGTACTTTAACTATATTGGAAGGGTAAGGGACTGGAAGCAAGTGTACGTATGATGCGATGGGTGGAGAAAAGAGAGCTACATCCTCAGCCCCAGTAGGATGTCAGTAGATGATGCCTAATATTGAAAAAAGCAAAAGTAGCGTCACAACGATGTATTTTCATAAGTAAATATGGAAGTAAGTAACAAATATATTCTCTAAAAGTACTGTTTTTCATAATAAATTTTCCATGGTCATTGCAGAATAATTTAGCTCTTTTATTATGTGTATGAATAACTGAAAAAAAATTCCTTCACTTTTGATTATTAGAATTTTCTTGTGACTAAGATTACTTGGAGTGTAAAGTCCTCTTACATTGTGTAATTAAGAGCATTTACATGCAGCAATTCATAAGTAGAACACATACTATTGTTATATATAAAATATCTTTTAATTTTGCATATTGTAAAATCCTGTTAAACCATCTTTAAAATCCCTTTAAAATCATCTCTTACGTAATGGATTCTGTATACTTGTGGAGCTAGGCATTTTCCCCAGTTTAAAGTGAAGTTTCAGAGACTGAGAAAAAGTTTTTAAACTGCCCAAGATCCCTTAGGAATTTTGGGAGAGTAACAAGATCAGAACACAATATTCCCAATTCTCTGTCATCATGCCACAAAATCATGTTGAATTTTCCCAAATATTTTAAAAATAATAAACAAAAAACCCGAATAATTTGAGAATTCCAAAAAGCAAAAAAGAAGTAACAATGCTGGCACCATTGTAAGCTAATTATGCATATTTGACAAAGACTCATGAATTCCTTGTCAGATTCAAAAGTAGAGAAATCAATTTCCTCCAAAGCTGTGGCAATCCACAGCTGAATAAAGAATATAATTGTAATAGGGAAGAACATTTTGTATTCTATTACAAGTTAATCACTAAAGGGATGTTGCCTATAAGCTTAAATTATACATAATGGCCTCCCCTTTTAGTATAAAAGAAGCCTGAATTCTAATTCAGGCAAGATGGTTCTTTGGGGCATGAGCTCACCATCTTCTCGGTTTGCAGGCTTTCTGAATAAAGTCGTTTTTCCCTGCCCCAACAGCTCATCTCTTGATTATTGGCCTGTCCTGCAGTGAGTAGTACAAGTTTAGACTTGGTAACACAATGAATAAGTATAAGTAGCAGAATGAGTGATAAGATCAAGTATATAATGTGGGTAAATATGGTTCAAGGCTAATTACAGTATGCTGTGAAATTAACGAAGGGTAGAGAAAGCTAAACACACACACACACACACACACACACACACACACCAAAATTTTATTCCAATTATTTCCATTACTCGGATTGATTATTTCTGTTTTTGATTGGATGGGACCTCAGCTCATGTTTTTAGATCAAAATATCATTTAAATCTAGTGTATATGAAACCTTTCTTCCTTAACAAAATAAAAGAACAGAAACAAGTGAGTAAATATGGATTTGGCCTCAGGTTTCCTCTTCTGTAAAAGTAGGATAATAGTACCCATCTCATAAGGTTGTTGTGAAGGTTAAATGCAATAGTGCAGGGAAGCAATTTGCATAGCCCTTGAAAACATTTTAAAGGTAAACTCTAATTTCAATGCTTCTGCTTAGTTCTCTATACTGTTCTTCTGTTTAGAAAATTACCTTAATATGTTTAAGTGATGGCAGGGTCCTTAGGCATAGTCTGGAAGGAAAAAATTGAAGGGGGAGAAAAAAGGAAGAATAATTGCTCTGCATAATATACTAACAGGAACTTTCAATTAGTTGGGCATGGGGCTAAAGACTGGAGGTTTCAGGGGTTCTGGACAGGGAGGAGAGGAGTACAGCAGAAGAGGAAAGACAGTGGGAAATATCCAAAGATGGGAGACACACAGTTTAAAACAATCGTCTAATGATTAATTTTATTTTTTCCTTTTCTATGTTGGGCATATTCCTCCTCCCCACATGTTCTGTTTAATAAAAAAACTGCTATTTACCCAACTGTCTTTTGTTAGTGGAGCTTTGGGAAATGAACAGGCGGATAAGGATACAGACAAAAAAAAAAACGTCACAGAGGCAAGGCAGTGAGTGGAGATTGGGCCTGGGAGTGAGAGATGTCTGGATCGTGCAAACCTCTCACATCCCTACACCATCCCAAGAAACACCTGGGAATTGTGGAGGGGCCTGAATTTCCAGTGTCTACAGGGTAGGGAGTTGAGAAAACTTGTTAAGATTACCCTAGAAGGCTGGAGAATTTGGGCTTTTTAGGATTAAATCAGCTGCTCTTCTTTCATTTAGCTAAAATAACTTAAAACACAAATAACTATGAGAGATGATAACTAGCCACTGTGGTTCACTAAACAATGACACATGATGAGTAAGTTTTAATGATGTAGGGGGAATGGATAAAAAAGTTTAGAATGTTTAATGTTTATAAAATTGTTTCACAACATTAGCTTAAGCAATTATCACAAAAACTCTGAGACTGTAGAACCCCTTTTTATTTTTAATGAGAAAAGTAGACTCAGATATGTTAAGGAACTTGTCCAAAGGACCACAGTGAGTATAGGCTTTCCATTACACTACAGAAAATCCAAACCATAGAGGGAAAGAGAGAAGACAAATGTGACCTATTTCAAATTTTGCCCATACCCCTTCTGAACAGATAAATCACCTTAAAAATTGATTATATGCTTAGTATTATTGCAGCTGCCATTTTAAGATATTAATGAGTGTGGTTTTGGTACTCCAGGATGTTTTTAAAATTTTTCCAAAAATTAATGTACATTCTAAAAGAAGTTACTGTAAAACAGAGAGTGTCACTCACCACCCAGTTCTACAAGGATTAAGTCACTGGCTACTGCAGTCCCTGAATTCAGGATGAAGAACAGGATGAGGCACTCTGAGCTTTGGGAAAACAGACAAAACAGGCCCTTAGATAGTTAGTTACACATATTCAGGAAAAATTGTTATGAACCCAGATTCTTGCATCTTCCCATACTTAGTAATAAAATTATTAACTGAGATATCTGTTCCTCATGACTAGCACTAACTTTCTACCAAGACATAAGTTGGATTTTATGTACTCCTTAGCCAAAATCACATATATACTGGCTTCCCCTGCATCTTTTCGGAAAAGTTCCTCAGAGCAACCTGAGAGGCTGTCTCCCGGGATATGGTCCTCAGTAAGACACTGAATAAAACTCAACTCATAGCTCTTACATTGTGCTTTTTTTTCCAGTCAACATTACCCTTGAGCTTGATTGTTTTTACCAATATTTTTATAAGGAAGCACATTCCCTTCCATCTTGTTTCTCTCTTTTTCCCCATGATCTTTTATTAAAAGAAAAATTATTTTAATAAGTCCAGTTCCATAAAGAGGAAATCTTTAAGCCAAAATGAAATAAAAGCTAGTCTGGAAATACACGATCTTATTATCAAAGTACTGATGGAAGTATGGAGTCTAAATACAAGAATGGGGCAGGAATTTAATGCAGTTTAAAAGCAAATACTCTGGGGAAAGCCAGAATAAACTGAACTTAGCAAGTGAACCATTAAAGAAAAGAGACAACTACAGTTTATAAATTTTATGTTCATGATAGAAATATATTGGCTGATGCATTCAAAAGACTATGCATGAATGAGTGCCCAATATGTGGTTCTGCATCATGTCTTTAAATTTTGGTTTTCTTATGATGACCCACTGGAATCCCTATCTAGTATGAATTACATACATATCTGAGACAATTTGGGTACTAAATTTCTATTTCCCAAGTATGCAATTTTTCCCCCCATTGGTGGTGGTTGCTATTCATATATGCTTGGTGTTGAAAAAGGCAACTTTTCCTTGCTTCCTGGTTTCTAGTCATAATAAAAATGAAAATCCATTGATTGAACACTGGTGATGGTAATCTTAGTGTTTTGCCTGTTCTGTCAGTCTTCCCATTAAATTGTATTTGAGGTAATCTGATATCATTTTATGTTAAAATAATAGCTTTCTCTGCTTATATGGTGTGAAAGATTCTTTGTACCTGTGCTTTATTAATATTTAGTGCTACTGAATACAAAGCACCATTCTGCTAAAAAAGTTATGCCAAAAGTTATGTAACAATGAAGCCCAAAACCTGTACATATAATCACAGCATCATATTAGCAACAATGTAGAACAAACACAGACTGGAGTGAGCAACAACTACAGAACACATTGTGATTCTTCCATTAGATTTCATTACCTGAGAATATTCTTCTCTGACAATTTCATCTATAGTCATTTTATTTACCTGAATTCGAATACAAGTAATTTTTTAAAAGTTGATGCATAAAAATCTCAAAATGGCAATCCCATCAAACAAGACTGCTGGAGTATAAGCACCTAATTCTAACACTTACCAGTCATATCTCTAACTTTTTTATATCTCACCATCCCTACTGATAAATGAAGATAATGACAGTAAACCTCATAGGATTATTGTGAGGTATAAATGAGAAACTGAATGGTGAAAATAGGGCTTGGCGCATAGTCAACATTTGTTATTTATTGTTTCTGGGTTTTTGTTTAATAGCGTAATTATTCATGCTGAATGTATTATGTTTTTAGCTGTAAGTTTTAGGCCAAGTTAGAGTGGTCTAAACACACAGAAGTTTGTGTTCTCACTTAATAAGAAATCTGGAGATTAGGCAGTTTCCTCAGAGGCTCAGCAATGTCAGGGTGTTAGTCAATGTTTCTGGAATTCTTTTGGTTTCTGTACCCCCAACCCCTGTCCACAATCACATGGCTACACCATTACATGAGAGTATTCAAAGCAGAAAGGAAGGCAACAGGCAGCAAAAGAAACGTTTTTCCCCAAGGAGATTCTCTTTATGTCTCATTTTCCCGAAATGGGGTGCATGCTCACTTGCAGGCCAATAAAAAATGAGATTCCTATGACTGATAGAGACTAATAAGAAATTATCCCCTGGGCCTGGTGCTGGGGGACTGCTACTCAAACAAAATTGTAGTTTTGTTTGTAAGGCAGAAGAGTGGAAAGGTATTAACAAGACAAAGGATAGGGTGACTGAGTTTCCTTCCAAGGCTCTTTTGTGATAAAGCTTGACTAACAACGTAGAGCTGAATTATTACCTGTCTGAAGTTCTTTGTTATTTCAAAAAATAGCAGAAGGAGGCCAGGACTTATTATTTGCTTTTTCTTCTAAACAACAGAGTAAAGAACAGGTCTATAAAATTGTATAAGGAAATTTACTGTGTGTTGATATGTCCTTTTCCTCAGTGGTGGTTTGTTCATTTTCCCTGAATGATCCAGGTTAATGTTTCCATTTCTAACTATATTCTACATGTTTATCCACAGTCTCTCAACATTTTTTTGTTTATTATGTTTGTGTTCTAGAAAAATAGGTTGGCCAACAATCCCCGCCTAGTATAAATTACGTACATATCTGAGACAAAAAAAATTTTTTTCTAACCATGTAAGATATCTTCTAACTCTCTCATTTTTGAAGTTCTGCATACAGCTGATCTCCAAGAGACTTACTCAGCAATGGATGTTAAATGGATGAAAATGTAGGTAAAAATTGTATGTAAAACAAAAGAATGAAAAACCGTACTAATTTGGAAATAATGCAAGTAGTCAATTTGAGGACTTAGTTCTTTAAAAAATGCAAAGAATTTGATTACCTTTCATTGTGAATAATAGCCAAAAATAAAAATTTCTATTCACAGAGTAAAAATTGTTAGATTCACCCTTAGGTTTTGTATTTATTTTCCATTAGGCAGGAGTTCTACATCAGTATTCTTTATTTTACCCACTGCTGCTTTTGGCATAATGCACCCCCAGTTTGTTATGGATGTCCCTTTACACCAACTGTTTCTAAGGTATCATAGCAGCTGTCAGTGATACAAAAGTTCATGAGAACATCATGTGATCATTAGTTCATTTTATCCCCACCTGGCTGTTCCAACCCCATGTAGCTAATACTATATGACAATATGTTACTATATGAACCTGGTCCAAAGACAAAAGAATACTGTGATAAAGAATTGAAAAATATTAGAGATTTGTCAATACCGAAACAGAATCAAGTTCCTTTAGGAGGGAATGATTTTCTGGTAAATTAAGATGCATGATTTATTCCCATAAAAGGTTTCACAAATGATTTCTACAACATAAGGATTTTTCAGCACTTCTGAGGAGGTTTAAAGATCAGCAGTTTCTGTTCAAAGAATATACTGACCCAATTCTTCAACAGAATGGGTAACCTATAAGAAGAAGGTATATAATTCACTCACATGAGAACATGTCGATAAGAAAATATGTGGACTAGACATCTATGCATTGGTTTCTTATGCTCTGCTAAAAATTAAACCAAAACCTATGGATAAATAACCTTCAATCCAAGTCTTCATTTCTGATGAGGAGAGAATAGAAAAAAAGCGTCATGGCCATCAGCCCTGAGAGGTGTGGTGACTGTATTCAAAGACTGTGATCTTCGGTCTCCTAGCTTTAATTGGCCTCCTGGGGTATGTAAAATGCTGTGTGTGTGTCACACTCCTAGAGATCTTGGCACAAACTATTTACAGCTGTTTGGAGCCTTAACATACAATACAAAGGGCCTGCTGGGTCTGGCATTTGCTGACACAGCCTTGGAATCAATGGAAAAGTCTGGCTTCTCTTTTGAGGTCCTCATAGTGAAGGATTTGCAGACTGTAAAGTATACAAGAAACTAAGAATCATCCTTAGCACAGCCAAAGCTCTTCTCTGCAGGGCTCCAGGGAGTCTGGTTAGTACACTTTTTCTGCAGAGCCCTGGAACATTCTCACCTTCTTCACATGAATAACGTCTTCCACAATAAAAGACTTTACAATATTTTGCCTACATTTGCCACACAAATAGATTACGATATAAGACTGCACAGCAGAGGTGGCGGCAGACTAGAAACCTGTGGGCTGAATCCAATGCACAGGCATTTTTTCCCCCTTGGTTTGGATCCTCATAGTGTTTCATTTTACTTTGTTTAGTTAATTTGAATTAGTTGCCAACTTTTAAAAATCAGGACGTTTAAAAAATTTTTTTTCAGATTATTGATTTCTCTGGAAAAGTCAGATATGGCAACACAAGGTCTAAGTTCCCATTTGGCAACAGATAAATGGGGCTGGGTAGCAGCCACCCTCTTTGGAGGGGATATGGGTCTTAAATGCCAGAGCCCCTCTGAAAGGCCTCTTGCATTCACGTTCCCTGACTGGCACTACTAGGCACTAGAATTAGCAACCACGCTAAAAAGAACATGCCTTTAAAACACAGATTACAAACAATAAAGAACAATTAGGAATAATATGTCAACAAAGTGAGAATTATGTTTTATTTGGCAGACTTTCTGAGGACTTCAAGCCCGGGAGACAGCTTCTCAGATATAGCTCTGAGGGACTGCTCCAAGGAGGTAAAGGAGGAGGCAGGATATACAGGGGTTTTTGCAACAAAGACCAGGTAGTTGGAACATCAAAAAATTACCGTTAATTAAAGGAAACCAGATACCTTAAGTTAATAAATTTAGCACTTTTCCATGTATGGGAAGATGCAAGAGTCTCGGCTCATTGACATCATTCCTTTGATGTGCACCTTAGCTATCTAGGGCAAGTACCTTGTTCTTTCCCATCCTGAGTCCCCTCAGGGTGCACCATTTTGGGTGGCTGCAGTGGCTGAGGGCTTGGTAGTGGGCAGCCTGTTTGTTTCCCACATGAGTTCCCTCAGGGCTCACTACTGGGGTAGCTGTAGTGGCTTGATGGCTGCAACATCCTTTGTTTACTGATATGGCAGGCAACATTTTTCACTCACAAATATTACACAGAACATAACCACCTCTTAGCTTGCTTAAGCAACATTTTCCTATTTTGCTTAAGATATTTTTTTTAAAGAA